GATTGTGTATACTTACTGTATCTAATTTCTTTTCTCCCCATTCTCTCTTTAGGTCATTCTAATCAAATTTTTGCACTTACGACTCCATTATTGTCATGATCACAAATGATTGCCACTTTACTAAATTCTCAGATAAATTTCTCAGTTCACACGTGTTTTGAACTGTTTTCAGATCTATGTGAACAGCTATTGTCTTCCCTTTGATATATATATATATATTTTTTTTTTTTTTAACTTTGGCTTTTCAGGATATTAGCTAAGCTGTGCCCTAACTAGTGACTCCTTCTCAATTAGCTTAGATGGAGTCTCCTCATCTTCCACGTTTCTTATACTTTGGGAGCCCCAGGACTCAGTTTTAGACATTGTTTCTGCCTCTATATCTCTGGATGAAGTAAATTGATTCAAAGACTTTACTGTCTTAATCTTAATGATACCTGAGTTTATAAATTCATCCAAGGTGTGTATATTCAACTGCCATCTTGACATTTCTATTTAAACATCACCCAGAATTCATGCATGTATCCAAAACTGAGCCCTGATGCCTCCCACAGTGTTTTCCATCTGAGGTTCCATCTTTCTCAGACAAAACAGTTACGGTCATCTATACCTCCACTTTTTTCCTGTCAAATCCAATGTTATCTTCTTGACTCCAAATTAAAAACATACAAACAATATAATACCTCCATAGCTATAACTCCAGTTTAAACAACTATTAATTATTTCATGAATTATGAAAATTGATACAAATTAGTCTCCTTTCTTCAAATCTTGCCTTCTTTGGTTGCTTCATAGCCGTAATATAAACCTCTTAAGAATCTCTGAATGTAGCTCAAGGGTAGAGTGCGTGCCAAACATGCCCAAGGGCCTGGGTTTAATCATGAGCAAAGAAAAGAAAAGAGAAGAAAAAAGAGAAAGAAAGCTGTTAATACACATCTTTCCTCTGATCAAAACCTTTCAAGTGGGTTGGGGATTTTAGTGGTACAGCACCTGCCTGACAAGCAGGAGGTCCTGAGTTTGATTCTAAACACAAATTTTACCATTCAACGTATAATCTAAATGCCTAATATATTAAGTAAAAATAAATCCACATTTAGACCCATCAAAATGAAATTGAAAAGCATGAAAGATAAGTGAAAAATCTTAAAAGCTACTCGAGTAAAAAGATGAATGAACAGCAAAGGAATGACTACTAGAAAACAGATTAGCAAATGATTCCAGAAGACAATGGAATAATATGGTGTCTTCAGAATGCTAAAGTAAACTACTTAAGTCTAATACAGTAATTTTTATGCTAAAACCATAAAATGTGAGAATAAAATAAAGATACTTTTAGGTCCACAAAAAGCATGAGAATATTTTCAGCCTGCTACAAGAGAACTCCTAAAGAATATAATCCATCAAGAAATAAAAGAAAAGTAGTGAAATTGCATATTAAAAGTGACACAATGGTAAAATGTGTTGATTAATGCAATAAACAATGTGGTAAGACATTTAGAAATATCAGTGAAAATGATGCAGGTCAGAAATTCAGTATGTAAAATAAAAATGTAACTCATTACCTTGTTCCGGAGAAGCCTGGGGAAGCAATGTCTTTTATTATAAAATGGCAAAAAAGAAAGACGGAAAAATGGAAAAACATGTTACATTTCACTGGAAACTTCTCAAAGAACAAAAATTTATCTTTGAGTTCTAACTTAGCAAGGAAAAAGAAAAATGAACAAGGGAAATGTCAACAATCTAGTAAAATCAGGAAAGGAAGAAGAAAAAAGATGAGACACAGATCAAAATAAAATAACAAATATTTCCAATACATTAGTAATTCTCAAATGTTTGTAGCATTGATTCACTAAGACAGCTAATTTTAAGCATCACTTTGAGTAGGTTAATGGACGCCCAGCTAACTAGCAAAACATTATTTTTCATTGTCCCTGAAGATTGTTTCCAGAGGAGATTAGCATTTGAATCAATGCACTAAGTAAAGATGATTTGCCCTCACCAATGTGGATTGGCACCATTTAACCAATTATAGGAGCAGATAGAACACAATCATAGAGAAAAATGGATTTGTTTGAAGCAGATGTAGCCATCTCGTCCTGCTCTTAGGCATGAAAACTCCAGCTTCTCAGGCTTTTAACCTTGGATTCAGGGTTTTATCAGTTTCTCTTTTCTCAGCTTTAAGACTCAGACTGAATTTTACAGCAATTTTCCTGTTTCTCCAACATAAGCATAACGCAGTGTGGGATTTCTTAGGCTCAGAACCATGTAAACCCTAGAGAAATCTGACAAAATTAAAGACTTCCATGTTAGAAAAAAAAAAAAAAACCAAAATCACAGGTATATTCTGATTGTAACAGACACCTTTTTCTCATGATGGGTTGGTTTAAAAAAAAGCAAACACAAAATTTACTATCTTAATCATTTTAAGTGTATATTTCTATAGTGTTAAATACATTCTGGAACAGATCTATAGAACTGTCTTGTCTTGTGAATCTGAAATTCTATACCCATTTCTATAACTATTGTCCCTGTTGGTAACTGTTCTACATTCTGTTTTTATGAATTTGAATGTTTTAAACACCTCATTATAAAATGGAATCATATTTCAAAAGTGGCACAGAAAGACTGAAAATTACAGGATTGGAGAATATATAATGATAAAATTTTAAAAATTAACTTGGTTAGACATCAGATATTCCAAACCAGTTAAATGCTGAGCAACATTGCCCTGTAGGGAGTACGTCATTAAAGAAAACACCGTCATCAAAAGAAGTGCAGAACTAGAATAATGTGGAGATTCATAAAGAGGTAACAACATGCTAGTCTAGTAAAATAAAGATTGTATATGACTGAGTTTGGAAGTTAAGAACATTGGTGATTTTGGTAGTTTCAATTGAATTTGGGCAATTCTTATTTTCCTAGATTAGAAAGGAATTATGTTTTTTAAGAAGCTTGAATAAAGAAAATAAGAGATGCTGTTTTGTTAGACTCCGATAACCATATTTACAGGTTGAGGACATTAGAGATTAAAGATGGAGGGGCAGCAATCTCTCTCTCCAGGGACATCTCTTGAGCTCCCACATAAGTCCCACACTCTTTCATGTGGAACAAGTTGCTTTGGTTTTTTTTTTTTTTTTACAGAAACAAAAATCTCTTGACACACTAGCTACTTACTTAGTACACTGCACTTGAGCTGATTTTCCTAAGTGTTAAATCACCTCAAAACAAAAACAAAACACAAAACACCCCAATATTCACAGAACCCTTGATTTGCATCTTAGTCTCTTTGTTATTGTAATGAAATATCTGAGGCTAGGAACTAAAAGCTTACTGTAATCACAGTTTTGAAGGTTCAAGATGGATCCATTGAGATGGATCTGGAGAAGAGCACTTGGCAGATGGAAATCACAGTGGCAGGGGCAAGTGGGAGACAGATCCACAAGTACAGAGTGTGGGAAGGGGCCAGACTCACTTTTTTTAAACAGCTCACTCTGAAGGATCTCACTGGGTTTCCACAAGAACTACTTAATTCCTCTCAGGATGATGCCCAGTAACCTAATTACAGTGTGGTAGGTAGGCTCCATCACCTCTTAACAGACTTATACCAAGTCCAAATATCCACTATATAGCAACTTCTGTTTCTTTTAGACAATGCCCTATAGACTTACAAGTGACATAAACTTTTTCTTAGCACTTGTCTTATGACGTTATACCTGGCTTTGTAACCAGCTGCCTCCCAGTGATTTTTATTGCAAAAGTTTACCTATAGTTCTATGGGAGAAAAATTCCCATTTGGGGTAAAAGCAAAGTATTGGTCTCGAAGGAGGAGCTGATTTTTTGCCAGCTGAGAGATGAGGGAGGAAAATACATTTCAGGGCAACAATTTACTCGTCTAAGAGGGTTTCTTGAAGGAAGGATATTTATTTTAACAGTGTTACCATAGACATAACATATAAGACATCTAGCAGAGTAGCCATGAAATGTTTTGCTGAAACACAGATGAAGTCATAGCATGCCCAAGGCTACTTAGTGTGAAAATGACTGTGCACGAAGCCGAGAAAAGCTTACTGTATGGCTGAAACTTTAAGAGGGCTGTGGGGCTGAGTGAGCCCTGGAATCAGCATGTGCAGGATTTTATGCGCTGTAAGAAGGTGGCCATTAAGGTTTTTAAACAGGTGGGTGACCCATTCATATCTATTTTTGGAAAACATCCTGGTAACAGTGATGATAATGATTTGAACAGACACAGGATGAGAAGAGCAGTTAAGACACTGCTGCCAGAGGCAGATAAGGGTCTGAACTTTAGCTGTGCCAGGGGGATAAGGGGGGAAATGTGAATGACCTTGAAAAAAGTCAGGTGCAAAATCAACAGGAATATGATCAGAGGTGACCAGATAAGGGTGTGCCTGATCTTGCATTGTTCTGGGACACAGGTGGCAAAAACAGATAATCAGCTTAGTCTGGGACAAGGTGAGTGAGGTGTATGTAATACTTTCAGGTAGTTCAGTTAGGAAGTAAACCTCCTAGATGGGAAATTAATGCAATTCCAGGACTTAACACACTGGGCGATCAGTTGCTTAATTACAAACCTGATTGCCTCCCTACTGACAGTTAGGACAAGAATCATTTCATTCATTTTCACATCACCTGGGTGAAATCACGAATAAGTATATAAAAGATATTTTACAAAACAGTGTGTGACCGAATTTAAACTCTTCAGCTGTAGATAGGTTAAAAAAAGAAAAGAAAAAGTTGCATCTAGAAATTTCCAAACCACAACAGGACTGAGGAGCAGAGGTGAGCACTCACCTAGCACAGATGAGGCCCTAAATTCAGTTCCCAGACCGTAAAAAACAAACCCCACTAAAACAATAACCAAAACTTCAGCAAGGCTTTAGGTGCTATGTTCAAGCTTGATTTAAGAAAAACATAAAATCTGTTAACCATGAAATCCAACAAAGACATATAGAAAAGAGAAAATAACTAAAGAAAACACCCAAAAATTAAATTGTAAAAGATGTTAATTGCTTTTATTCTTCAAAGTTACTTTTACAAGTTCTTTAATTAAAAATTGCAATTATTAATAAAAAAACTGCATGAGACTATTGGTTTCATTTTTCTCCTGTTCATGGGTATCTAATATATTGGGGGATATCAAATTCAGATATAGAATTCTGATCCTTGATACCGAATTGTGTAACTACTACCATAATAATGGAATTGATAAATTTTGTAAAATCAAACACATTTATCAAAAGGTATTCCACAACTAGATTTCTTTACAAAGGGGTCCTAAATATTGGGGTAAATCCTTAAATATATGGGAATAAACTCTCAATTAAACAGAGTACCAAGCCAGGATGTTGGTAGAGGCCTGTAATCCCAGCCCTCGGGAGGTGGGCAAAGGAAGATGATAGAAGAAAGCCCTGCGTGGGCGATCTAGCAAGATCCGTCTCAAAATTTAAAAAAAAGGGGGGAAAAGAAAAATACTACTACTAATAAAAGGGATAGGTGTGAATCTCAGTTGTCAGGCCGTAGGTTCAGTTCATAATAATACCACTACCAAACAAAGACAAGCAAAAGGATCAGGTAAATCTTCTGTGCTATTTGGGCAAATCTGAAATCTCTCAAAATTTACAGTACTGTTAAAATACATTATTTAAGAAATCTCTCATGAACAAGATAAATTTTGTCTGGCAACTGGATGTTTCTGCAGGATTAAAATTATTTAACTCATGAAGAAACTATATCTCTCCTTTAAGGCTAATTTTTTTTGGTGGGGAGGGGCAGAACATTGTGTTACTCAATGTGTTAATAGAATGTTAGTATATTTATTGTAACATTGGCTATAAAGTATTTCTATCACATCAAAAGGACTAAAGCTCCTAGAGTGTGACAGATACCAAAAACTGCTTTCCTTTTTTCGATCAACATTTTTAAAGCATTATGATTGGCTCTGCTCTTAGAAATAATTTCTAATTTTTGTTCTGTAGGAAGACTATGAAATATGTATTCAATAATTAATTTTTATAAAATTTTACAATTAATAACTTTCTCTAACATGAAACATAGTAATTATCTAGTGTCAATAATGGAATTTAAAAAAACTGTATGACCATCTTAAAATATATTGTAGTTCAAGCAGTATTATATCAGCAAAGGTAGAAAAATTGAACTGAAACTTTTAAATGTTTCTCATTATCAATAAACAAAGTGAACAGGAAACCAGAAGTGTAGCTCAGTGTCAGAGCATTTCTGTAACATGCACAAAGCCCTGGGTTCAATCCTTAGCACTACAAATACAAATAAATCAAGTGATCTAACAGTTACCTATATTTTGCTTTTTCCCTTAGGTTTATTTTATTACAGGATAGTTTAACATCTACCAATTAAATGTGTTAATTCAATATGAAGTTTCAACATCATATATTTTCTTCTCCTGAAAAAGTCAGAGAGAAATCAAATTCTTTTCTCAGATGATTAAGACTGCATCTACTCCATAGGTATCACCATATAAACACAGTCAAGGGGTAAGATCATATTGATGAATCTAAGTTTTAAATTTCAGGCATTGATTTAAACTTTAATGTCCATTCTGTAAAATCTAAATCTTTAAAAGAAGTTCATAATCATTCAAATGCCCTAAATGACGTCTGCATCACATCTGACAATAATGAAGACAAAATAACAATAAAGTTTCAAAAATTATTGAAACAAAGGTTTCAATGATAAGGCCAATGCACACACAGTAACTGCTCTGTTTTTAAGTCACTGGGGGCCCTCAAGAAAGACCCAACTTCCTCTCTTGGACTCTGGTGTCTGAATTAAGGGAAGAAAATCTTACTGCAATCTGGGTTCAGGCTCCTGACTCACAAGCAAAAAATAACCTAAGAAGGAAAACTTTACCCCCAACTATACTATGAAAAGAAACCTTTTCCAATAGCTGCTTTCAATTTAGTTCAAAGAACTGATAAAAGCAGAAATTCCCACCTTCAAGTTTAGATTTTTAAAGCTTAACATGGTGCGCTGTATTAACTCCTTTCATGCCAACTTAACATATCCTGGGCAACAGAGTTTTTTAAACTACACATATGCACAATGATCTACTAAAGAAAAACTCTAATCTTTAAATCTGAGTTATTAAGCTTAGTAGGTTTCTCCCATTTAATTATTCTGAAGAATGCTACCTTGTTTGGAAAGAGATGATGTTTTCTCTGTGTACATAGACCTGTCATGTAACAATAATTTCAACAAATATCATTTAAAACAAGTGTTTTAAGTAGTTTTATGTTTTAAAATAACAGATTCAATATTTAAGCTTTTACCAAATGGAGATAGGATGACCAAATCACGAAAATATTTTGTTAATTCTTAAAGTGTCTGAACAGCTCAGAAGTACTATTTATATATACCAACCACTCATGCAACAGAAAATCAATAAGAACAGAAAAGAATTCTACTAGGGTCGCTTTAAGACCTGGGACCGGGATGAACATTCACCTCATCTATAGCTTTTAAGCTACAGAAATGTGCAATAAACCAATCTTTTGTTGTAATACAAAGACTGGCAAATGTGAAACTATTTGGATACATTTAAGATAGTAGACCACAAAAAGAAACAGGTTCACCAGTGATTTAAGCAATGAATATACTATAGTACACCACAATATAACAATAAATTGTCTTTTGTTTCGAGAGTTAAATAAATCAATGTACCTGAAATCTTTGTAGGTCCTATTCACATACAACAATGTGAATTGAACCCTGGGGAGACAGGCAGTGTTGCAATTTTTGCTTGTGCTTCAAGTGGGTTAAATATGATAATCAATTTAAGAGGTGATAACATGAACTCAGTCTAAAATGTGTTGAAAACCATCAAAAATATTATTGTAAAAAAGGGACTTAGCATCAAAATGATACATTTTATTAAATGTAATGTGCAAAATAAAATGAAGTGACCTCTACTCAAAAAACGTACAAGACAAGTATTATTTGAAAGGTTTTAGTACTTATTTTCAATAAAAAGAAATCTGGTATTATAAAAATACATAAAATAGTCATGAATTTATACCATTAATTTACATAAGTTTTTTGCATAAAACAAAGTTATACAATACTTTAAAAGGTATTTTAATGTGAAAGTTACTCCCAGTATAAAATTTTTATAGCTTTTTGTAATTTTGGTTCATCTGTATAAATAAGACATTTTATCATTTTAAAATTTATAATTCCATTTAAAAACATAAGATTCATTCTCTTAAATAAAAGTCCACTTGAGGTAGTATGTTAAAAGTTTTCTTTGGTCTCATTCAGTCTATGTGTTCAAGTCATAAGACTGAAAATTTGGAGTCCTGTAGTTTTCTAAAGTCTGTTTATGGGTACATGTGTGATTGTCTTCCTGAAAATCTGTCCTTTCTCTCTCATCTTCTGACTCGGAGTCCAAGTCGGGAGAAGGCATTTTTAAGGGAAAGGCTCTTGACTGACAATCTGACGGCAGTCCAAAGCTTGAAAAGGCATCTAAGTGAGATCTTCTCAGTGGTTTTCCAAATGTCCCTGAAAGGACAAAAAGGCTCTGAGCGCATGGGACCTTTTGCTAGCATATACATCAAGAAAGTACAATGCAAATGAAGAGGCACTTGACCCCATTAACATGAACAAGCTTTTCCTACAAGTCCCCATTAGTGCACTCAGATGTCTGTATTTGTGCCACATGTACTGTAGAATGCAAGAGAGGAATCTGCTTTCCTTTTGTCTATAGTTGCTGGATAACTGCATGCATTCTTTATCATCTCCCATAATCTACAGGCATATGGGTTGTTACACAAGAAAGTCCCTGAAGTTCATCATATAAATCCTTTTCTCCTCTCCAAATTTCTTCTCAATTCTGGAGTAATTCTCCTTGAAGTGAGTTTGGATAACAACATTCAAGTTAAGTATGCCTGAATAGAGAAAGTTTATTTCAAAATAATTCTACAGCTTTGTTGTTTCACTGGAACAAAATAGTATTCAGTTAATCCTAAATCTTTCCCCAGCCCTGAAAAACATATTTTCCATTTTTTAAGGAAGAATATAAATGATCACATTGTATAAAACATGAAATTTCTTAAAAGCTCAGAAAAATAATTTTAAATTTTATTTTTTATTAAAAAGAAAAAAACCCACCACCAAGGCAGGTTGAGGCTCATTTCCCGTATCGTTCCATTCAGTGAGAAGAGGATCTCATTGCTTCGTCCCATTGTTTTCAGGCACCAGACTAAATAACATATAGCAAAACCTCGGGGCCAGCCAGCATCTAACACTACCCACTGTCCCTTTAAGGCTCCTGTGGCCTCCTATGCCCAAAGGTAGTCTTGCTTGTCTGACTAAGCAGCTGTTGCTAGGTAGGATGCTGTTTTCCACCCTTCTAGCTGCGGGTTCAGTTAGAAGCCACCAGACACACTAAACCACAATCATGCAGAACACACAACTCCACCCCAAAGGCTGTGAGAGCCCAAAACCACTTTTTCCACATGGCTGACAAGCTCAGCTCCTAAGTCATTCTCCAAACTCTTCTCTCTGGATGCCACACACAGTGCTATCCACAAGGCTCCCATGGCTTAGTTACAGAATGACTATGTAATCAGATAAAATCCCTACCTCAGACTTTGCATTAGAGGCATTTATACTAACTAGCAGGGTATCATGGCAATGCCTTTAAGGAAACACTGTTTTCAGCAGTTTGATATTCAAGGCTCTTGTCGTTGCTCCACATATAGCGTGCAGCATGGTATAGAAACACAGTAGCCAGCAATTTTGAATAAACTTACCCATGAGAGAATTACTTGAAGTAACTGATGCTGGTTCCAGACCTGTGCTAAAATCCGAAGAGGTCTTGTTTAGACACACATTTTTCATTGCAGGTCCTTCATTCTGAGAGTAGCTGGAGTTCATGAGCTTCTTCACATGTGAAGGCCACCCCAGGTTACCGAGGCTCTGCTCAGAGGACTCTTCTGTGGGATGAGAACAGGGGTAGCAATCCTTTTTCTTTATGTAACTGGGCTCAGAGTGATCCACTAAAGCTGTTCTTGGGTCAGCACTGTAGCCTTTTTAATTGGAGGGCCATATCAGAAAGAGATGCAGTTAGAATTTCTGTAAGATTCTCCAGGAAATAGTAGAATCAAGCAAGAAAACCACATACCTGTATGACAGGCTTCAAAAGGATCGGGACCGTACACATTCCCCTTCAAATACACTGGGCCTGAGGAACTCAGAAAGGGACAGAGGAATGGATCTGCAACAGCTTCCACATCAGCTTCACTGCTGGTGTCAATATGGCAGATTCCTTTAAAACACAAATCTGAGTCAATGAATGTGCTTTACTCCAGCACCACCCGAATTCTCTCATGTTGGCATTTCCTATACTTATAAGTGAATATCTTGGGAGAATACAGTATGACAGAAAAGAACTGCATAAGTTTATCAGCTTTTTTGTCAACTTATGTATTAGCAATTGAGTAGATTTGGGACGGTGCACTAAAAGAGGACTTGCTTAACCACTAAGCTGGGTGTGTCAGCCACACTGTTGGCTCAGTCTGGTTTCTAAGGGAAACAGATCTGTGTGTGGATCTAGCAGCTCAATGAGCCAAAGCTTGAACCACAACTTTTGGCACTGTTTCTTTCCTACAAAATGTCACAGATGACCAGAATGAGAGACTGGCAGGTGACCAATGACCTGTCAGTTCCCAGCTCAAACATGAGCTCAGAAAAAATAAATAAATAAATAAATAAAATCATCTAATGGGTTATTAAACTAAACAGCACAGAAAGGATATGTCTGTTAATGGTGGACACACAGTCCAAGGATAAGCAGTATCATTAAAGTTAGGGGTGTCGTGTTGGATCCTGTTGTCGTGTTGGGGAGGCAGAGTGACTGGCCAGAAGGTGGGTCGTGGCCCAAGAGACGAGCAGACATGCAGCAAGTGACTCAGCCATCCTGGTGGTCTCCAGAGCTACTCTAGGAGCAGACCCGTCTCTGGGCCCAGGACCAAGGCAACTTGCCACTGCTATGTCCCAGTCCCAACCCTTTGCGTTTTTACTAAACCTCAGTACATTTCAAGGAGGTTGGGTCTCTGTTCTTTGTCATCAAATGGGTCTTAACAGAGTATTATCTCTACACCATCACTGTTTTGCCAACTATTTTGTAACTGTTTTGTAATAGTTTGTCTCACCCATGTTTAAACTGTGAAACTGAAGGCAAATACACTTCCCACTCAACTATGAAGTCTGGCATAGAGCAAATAGTAAATGCTTGTGGTAAAAGATGGTAAAATGCTTGAAAGCATCCACTTCATGAGTTCTCGGCATGTAGCAAATACTGTGCAGTTATCTCTTTTGAGTTCATCTTCATAGCCACCTAGCCAGGAAGCACTGTGACTGTGCGAGGTCCACAGGGAACGGTCTTGGACAGGCCTGCTCCTGCAGTGTTCCATCACTGTCCGCATACCCATACAGCATCCAAAGCAAATGGCTGAATTAAGTTTCTCCACAGAATCACTTTAAATCATTCATTTTCTGATTCTGTGCATGGAACTACTTAAATGACAAATACTATAGAAGGAGCATAGTCCAGGCCAAAGAGTATTCATAATGTATAAGAAATATTACATTGTGTGAAGACATTATATTTATTTGATACTATCATTTTCTTTTACTGTCAGAAACAAAGATTTTTTTTTTTTTTTTTTTTCCTAAGAGAACAGGCAAGTATGTAATTTCAGCTTTTTTTTAGTGATCTTGGACCAGGTCCTAAATATTAGTGCATTGATTTCTGGCAAAAATTAATATTACATCTGAATCTTTCACCACATGATTTCAAAACAACTATAGCCCACAGTCATTTTAAGCACTTACCAGTACTGTCATGCTGTGGTAGGAAAAATCCGCCTCCTGAAGCAGTGACAAACTGGTGGTGGCTTCCACTTTCTGAGGAGATGTACCCATCCTGCCTATCAGCTAACGTCCCCTGAGATGACAGATAGCTAGGGATATCTGCGGGTAAGTTGGTCTCATCTGCAATTAAACAACAGCATTCTCTCAACCCAGAATGACGGCCACGGTCCCCATCCTCTCAGATAAACAGTACAGACCCGTTTCTGTACTAATCATGTAAGGGAAGATGTACTATGGCAAAGTCATCCTGATGTCTGTATTCAAGAAGATAAATCAGGGCTGTGAAGTACAAGCTATTTTTCATATCATCACCCATAAATTTCAGAAGCAAACATTTAAAAAGATAAAGGCTCAAGAATGTTCACATATTAGCACCTACACCCTTGCATTAAATATGATGCATAGGTACGTTCAGTGACAGCCCCTTCCCTTCCTCATAACTAAAATCCTCCCTAGGTAAATGTGCACAGGACCTGCCACATGATCACTGCAGACTAACCTTGTAACTCAATCTCCTCACAGAGGAGTAAGATTACTTCACCCCGTGACTGGGATTTTATCTTCCAGACAAGGGATGTGTTGATGAGGTTTTAACAAAAAGTATTAATCTTTAAACATCAGCTTTATTTCAAGCTGGAGTATTATTTTTAGCTAACTGTATTTCTGCAGCTTGAAACACCTTTCTGAGATGGGCTTAGACAGCAAGTCACACATTGTTAAAGAAAATGACTGCAGAACCACAAATACACGACTGCTGCACACTGTGCCAAGCTTCTGTTTACACACCTGTGTTGGTAATGCTGCAATCCTCATTCCTCCGCCTTGTGTGGTATATGATGACCACCCACACGAGCGACGTGCCCACCACACAGCAAACCACAGCTATGATCACGACGCCCACAGTGGCCCATCCGTCATCGTCTAAAGATGGGGCGGTCATCTGAGGAGAGTCACAGGTAGGAGTAGGGATCACACTGAGGCGCACATTGCCTCTCTCTGTGCCAAGGGTATTGGACATTTCACACGTGTACTTCCCAGCATCACTGACATCTGAGTCCACTATAATCAGCAGCTGATTGCCTGCTGCAAAAAAGTGCCTTTCAGTCACTACCAAAGGACTGTCATCCTTGGTCCAGTTCAGCCTGGGGGGAGGGCTCCCTCCAGCAATGCACTGCAGCACAGCCGTTTCTCCCTTGGTCACAGTTCGGTCTAACAGAGGCCGCAAGAAGGATGGGGTTTCTGAAATGACAAGTTATGTTTTTAATTTCCTCAATGAAACCTTGTCTCCATATCATAAGATTAGCACTTGCATTTTTTCAAATTGCAGCCTCCAACTTTATGCTCTCAGAATTTATTGAACATGCTTCTTTAGTGCCTAAAAACAACACAACCTTTGGGATTTCATCATTCTGCTGTCATTTACTCAAGACAGTAGGCATAACTGCTCCCTCACTCTTAAGTTAGGGAATTGAAGGTAGGGGATAAAAGACTTTTAAAAACAGAAAATCATTGACATAGTTGTGCACATCTGTAATCCCAGTGCTCTGGGAGCTAAGGCAGGGGGATCACAAATTTGAGCCCTGCCAGGACAACTTAATGCATCAGTGAGACTCTGTCACAAAACAAAACAAAAACAAAAACAAAACACAGAAGACATATAAAAATAATGTAAAGCACAAGGGTGTGTTCATGGATCAAAAAGAATGCTTACCTTTTAATAACATTTTTACTTATTATGGTAGAATGATGAAAGAAGAAGTAAATGGTTGAAACAGTTTTTGCCCTGGTTCTTTGTTCCCTGCTGGGTGGCCCCTAGGGCCTCACACGTACCAGGCAAGGGCTCCAGTGCTGAGACACACCCCCAGCCTCTAAATGCTTATCCTGCTAAGGGGAAACTTTCTAGTGCCAGGTCTATAATAACATTCTGAAACTAAGTTAGTTTTCTTATTTGGGATCTTAGTAGGTTCCTTGAACTCTCTCAAAACCACATGAATAATAAATTCACAATTTTAAAAAGCACTTGTTTATGTAAAAGATAAAAAGAACTGATTTGCAGAGTGGTAAGAACATCTCAGAACACAGAACAGCAGGTCCTTCCCAATATGGTCACACATGTACCTTTCTACAGGTTCTTTACAGCTTTAAGATCATGAACACTGCATGACACTCAGAGCAGAGGAGGATAATCCCCCCCAAAATGAAAGCTTTCTCCTTGAAACACGGGGCTGATTTATCTCCCTGACTGCAGACTTGAAAGGATAACATGTGCTAACTTCAGGTGACATCAGGTGCATTTGGAGTGGTGTGGCCATAGACAGCTCCCTGACTTCAAAGCTTCTAAGAAACCATTTGTTCTTTCTAGAAAAGACTGTGCCCTATGAATTCTCACCTTCCTACCCTTCCCCTTCCCATGATTTTTAAATGATCCAGTGTCTTCAAGACTGACTTATTCTACCAAGTCTAAACAAATCCTCTTATGTGATAGTTAAGATAGTTATACTACTAATTTCTCTTAGTTCATTGAAAAGAAAGGATTGTGCTAACATTGTCTGGATAATTAAATGCCACCATCTGGTACTCTGGGAAATTAATTTAAAGATAACAATATGCAATGTATTAACCATCGTTACCCACCTATTATCTTGTTTTGAAATTCTTTTTTCTCTTAAAAAAAAAAAAAAAAAAAAAGAAATCATCTTACCTAGCACAGTCAGAGTTGCATTTGCAGAAATACTTCCTGCACTGTTCTGAGCTGTACAGCTGTATACCCCAATGTCTTCTATCTTCACGTCCACAATGAAGAACACATCATCCTCAGGCATCACATGCATACGTCTCTCCCTTGCAGCTGGGAAGTCTGTGCCCCCATCTTTTTGCCATGCTATCTGTGGGGCTGGGTGTCCTGTGGCAGCGCACTCCAAGCGTGCCGTGGCCCCAGCACGGATGGTCAGGTCCATGGGTGTCTTAGTGAATGAGGGAAGCACTGAAATCATAAAAGTAATATAGGCACGTGTCCTATGGAGTTTGAAGAGTTCACCTGGATCCCTCCCACGTTACCTTTTCTTTAACAGTATTTACAAATGCTCCTGGCAAAGGCAAGGCAGAGGTTATTTCTAATTTCAAGACATATGGAAACTACATTTGAAATGGAAAGATGAAGCAACTTGCCTAGGGTGACACAGAGGCATAGAAATGAGTCAGGATTAAATATCAGTTGTCTGATTCTCACACTGAAAGTCATTCTGCAATCTTCTGGCCACTTTTCAGTTTATTCAATAATTATCTGTGAACTCGTGGGCAAATCAGTTCATTTCTTTGTTCCCTCACCATTTACTTTATTATTTTTTTTCTAAGTCCCCCCAGGGCTCTAACATTTTACAGTTTCAATATTATTGTAGTCCTACAATTTAAACTCAAAACTCAATAACATCAGCTTAGATACAAAGAACCAAATCTTCATTTCATGGAATGAGAGGTAGAGAAAGCTAGGTGGGAAGCAATGAGAAGAGGGTCAGGAATGAGACAGAGACAGAGACAGAGACAGAGACAGAGACAGAGACAGAGACAGAGACAGAGCGAGTGATTCCTGCTTCTAAAAGTCATGCCCGAATGCAAAAGGGAAAAGGGAAATTACGTACTATTCACGGTAAGCTTGGCTTTGACTGAGTAGGATGAACCAAAGTGATTGGAGATGACACACTGGTATTTCCCTTCACTAGCAAACTCCACATTGCGCAGGCGCAGAATGGTGGTGTACTCCATCACCTCGCCACCCTGGGCCCGGAGGTGTGCATAATTTTCCATCTCAGCATCATGCAGGAGTTCATTGTCTTTTTTCCAAGCAAAAGTCATTGGGGAATCACTGCTGCTGGCAGCTGAGCAGATGAAACTCAAATTGGAGCCTTTTATTGCTGACTGAGTTTCTGGCTGAACTGTGATCTGCGGTTTGGGAAAATCATCTGTTCAAAATGGAGAGAGAGAGAGAAAACAATGTGAAGGCTCAAGAGTCCAAGTGCTGTTCACACATGAGCACTAAGGAATGAAAAACAAATAGCACATCAGGTCTGACCCCTAGCTTATCTTGTGCAGACTGACGGGTAGTCCTGCATTGAAAGGATACCCTGGAAGGGTGTCTAGAAGTCATGTAATCATGTCAGAGAGACAGTGATCTATTTATCCATCATTACCTGAGAGAAGACTTACTTTGAAACTATCAGGAAAACCATAGTTTATTCAAGAAACCTTGTGTTTTATATCAGTATAAAAAGGCAGATAAGAAATCACAGGGGAAATCAAATAATATGTAAACCTGAGTTTTGCATCAGGATAACTGGTAGATAGCAATGAAGTGATTATTTCAAAAGTGCCAATACAACTGGGTCTAGTTGTGTATGCCTGGAACGTGGCATTCAGGAAACTGAGGCAGAAAGATTGTAAATTTGAGTCCATCCTAGGCAACTCAGCAAGACCTAGTCTCAAAAAGAGAGAGGAAGAGCCAGCCAGCAGAGGATTTCTAGTGTTCTCAATGTAAGAAATGAAGTATGTCTGCAGTGATGAATGGTCTAGTTCCCCTGCTCTGATCATTACACATTGCAGTCATGCACTGAAAAGTCACCTTGCATCCGGTAAATATGCACAATTACAATGTATTAATTAAAAATTACAAGTACTTTAAAAAAAGAAAGTAAGTTAAACTCCAGGCTCATGGACTATCTTTGAATGCTACCATCAGAAACTATAATTTCTTTCATGTTTTCCACAAATAAGGAACAACATAATTCAGAAAGTAAAAATCAATCATAATAATCTGTATCACCAAACACAGTGATTAATACCCCATTTACTGTAAGCAGAACCAATATTGAAAAGCAGGAGAGAAAAAAATCCTGTAGTGAACAAAAAAGCACCTCCAAGTCTCCGTGTGAGACACTGGCTCTCGCCAGGAGTTTGGGGCAGTCAATCAATCATGTCGCTGCGCTGCCCTGTCAAAGCTACATTATAATTAGAGCGGAGCAACTCTTTCATTCCAAAAGGTTATTTTTAGTTTCCTGTTACTTGTTGGAAAAGCTACATTTTTTGAGAACTTCAGTCTCTCAGAGATGTTCTAAACCCAGACAGAAACATCTCAGATTTACGAGCATTAGTATTCTTTGGGTGCAAGGGTGTGAATGAGCAAGACGGGTGGGGAGCTCCTCTGATAACTCCAGTGCTGCTAATTTTCAATGAAATGTCTTCAGGTTGTTAGCAAGATAATTTCATCTTATATACCGTTATTCTGAAATTTTTATCTGATAAATTAGTGTCCAGATATGGAGTCCAAAAATTATGGCAATAAAGACGTATTTGTCTCAATGGAAGAGGAGTTCCTATCTTGGAACTAGAGAACTATGAAATAAGGACCATGGGAAAGGAACATCTCAGGCCCTTACTGATGGATGCCAAAAGTTTATTCACATCCAAAAGCTACATCAGAGGTTTTATTTCCAGAAACTTGCTGGCACTACTTAAGGCTGCAACCTAAAAAAGAAAATACTCTCGGCCAAGCAGTGTTGAAATATAGTTCAACAGTGTAAAATATGGTTCTATAATACGTTCACATAGAGGCTTAAATTTAAGCAAATTTTGATTTCAAGTTTTATATACACATTTTATTTTTATAAAGGTTTCCTTTAGCAGTAAACAGCAAGATAATACAGTAGACAGAAAATTGTATCAGAGATGGAGAGTCAACTTTTTTTTTTTTTGAAAGTCAACATTTTTAATGAAGATTTGCCGCTGACTAGCTATGCAAAGTTTGGGTAAGATTTCTAAAGCTGAAATTCTTGAGGGCTAAACAATGGCTTTTAGAATTATTTATAACAAATTCAAATTTGCTGTACTTATAATGCTTTGCCCTACCAATGGCTCATTTTTCGGCAGCTCATAAATCCTTAGCTACTTAATTTTCTTTTTGCCATGAGCCTCTCAAGAAGCCTTAGAGTTGAGGAGGAAGCAGTTAAAAAATTTCCAGGTAGATACATGGACCACCTTTGGCATGGACCACTACTGGGAACTGCACTTTTCCTCATGTTTTCCACAAATAAGGAGGAGCAAAACTAAGAAACCAATATCAATCTGAAGTATCAAAATCAACAAAGGCAGTAATTAACACCCTATCTACAAAAAAAAAAAAAAAAAAAAAGAGAGCCAACAAATCTTAAAAACAAGTAGCAGAGCCTCTACTTCACGGATGCATAGACTAAGATTTTGGGAATTTGAGTGAAATGTCTTCTAGTTCTCCCAAGATCCAATTTCAGCCTCTTTCCACCAAACCACTTTGATGCCAAAACAAAGAAGAAGAAATTTTAGAGAACTCTCTTTCCCATCTGTAAAATTAGAATAATCAGCAAACTATAGATCTGTTTTCAACTATCTCAGCAGAAATAAAAGCTTTATTAAGAGAACATACGTATGTTCAAAACCATTATTTGGATAAACTGGAATAAAAGTCAAGGGCAATACTTATACTCACCACACACAAAGCCATCTGGGCTGATGGCAAATATACTTCTTCCTTTTAGCAGCTGAGGATGGGCACAACTGGCGTTCACAAAGCTCTGAAAGTTGTTCTCAGCCACCCACTGCGGGAGCCATTTTAGCTGGCAATCGCACAAAAGACTTGATGTATTTAAATGCCTGAGGAGAGTAATTACATTCAATTTACTTTGTATGAAACACAGATTGCCACAAGTAAACTAAAGTAAGTATTAAAAAAGCAATGAATTTAGAAATTATTATAAATATTCCAGAGTGCATTTTAAATGTAAGAAATGTACCTGGCATATTTTTTTAATTATTGTTGTTCTTGTCTTACTGAGGCAGAAGGGCTAATATATCAAAAATTTCTGAATACTGGGCTGGAGTTTTAGTTCAATGGCATAAGCTCCTGCCATGCAAGAGTGTGGTTGAGCAGACCAGCGTTTGATCCCCAGTACAGAAAAAAAAATCTGAATACTAAAATATTGTTACTGTTTTTAGGTACCTTGCTATACTTTGTAAATTCAAAGCCCCAAGGAAAAGAATCTCCACACTGTAACAAAGGGAAAAACAACCAATTCCTTTTGCTTTCTTGTATAAAAATTAAGATGTGCTAGACATTTTTTATAGACTCATAATCTAGAATGATAACAACATTTGACAGTTTTCTATCCTTATTTGAAACTCTTGGAAGGAAAAGAGAAACTTACAGTTGCTGAAGCTTCTTCATTTGTGAAAATGCATTGCCTTGCAAAGACATAATGGCATTGTCACTCAGGTCTCTGAAAAATAGCCACGTCAAACATATCAGGGAACACTGAGATCATTTTCTGTCTTTAGACAAAGTTTGGGCCATACTGCCCATCCCATTCACTGAGCAAATGCTCTAAGTGCTGAAATTCACAAATGTGGCAGGCAACTCCAGGGATAATCTGTCATAAACCCTGGATTGAGGACCAAGGATATTTGTCTGAGACAGATTTTCTCCAATGTTGTTTTTTTACCACTCACAGGTTGACTAAGGCCCAAACTTGTTCTGCTATATTGTTTTAGTATATTTCTCATTATTTCAGTTAGTAATTACTATTTAACTTTTAAAGACAAAAATGAAGTTTCTGATAGCTATGTATTTTTTAAAAGAGCATTCATAGGATACTTTCTAGGACATGCACTCTGTTAAGTGACATATCATTTATCCCAAGCATAATTCTGCTAACTAGCATAATTCTGCTACACACAACTTACTAGTATAAAGGCAGTAAGATGTTCAGACAAGAAATAATTCTTAACACAAACAGTCTATGTAGGACATTTTAAAAAATATTCTGGGCTGACTTTACTTCTAAACAACACTTATAATCAGCTTAAACTAAAATACTATCCATGATGATTGCTATGGTTTCTTTACAGAGGTCGAAACATACAAAAGGGATTTCTGAATCAGACCAGCAGCAACAGGAGACAAAGAAAGAAAATGCCAGGCCTGGGTAGGGGAAGAAGCTAGGTGAATAAAGGAACGTTAATTCCATTTTCCCTTAAATCCAATGGGCCAGATGACAAACTCTCTGGCTAGTTTTCCTTTGAAAATAATGTTTCAGTAAGTACAGCAATACAGGCCTTTCCCAAATAGCTTTCCAGAATCATTCTACTACCATTTTTCCTGCTGTACTGTCAGGGCTGGGACTCCAAATCTTCCTCAAACTGACTGATGCAGTAAGAAAACGACAAAGATGATTTATAGATAACACCCAAATGTTCATTCTCAATACAAAGTCCAAAGGAGTGATTGAAACATATGGGTATTTTACATGATAGCTTCTTTTGTCTAAGTTAAAAGACATTCAAACTTTTGGCCACAAGCATTCCTTAAGAATCCAAGTACACACACACACATTACTTTGTGATTTTACCATATATAAAACATATACTGGTGGTTTGTTGGTTCAATTAGTCAAAACACAATATTCAGCCAAGTTGGACCCCTCCTGATATCAGCTAGCTTTCTTCTCCCAGTGGATGAAAATCTTGAACCCCTAAGTCTCATTTCAGATGTATGTGCCAGGAGTTGCTGGTTAGGGACACAGATTGGTCTGGCAAGAGCTATAGTGATGCAGGGACTCCACGCAGACAGAGGCAGCTGTGCCTCGAGTCCTATTTCTGCCAGACTGATGGGTCAGTAACCAATGGATCAGTGAAAAAAACAATGATGGTGGCAGTGGTGGTGGTGGGATTATGCATTTTATATTAAGCATCAGAAACAAAAGTTCTCAATATAGTATTTAAATCCTTCACTGCCACTCTTTTGGATTATGAGGAGTTAGGAGTCGTCTTTTGATCTTTAACATCCAAGTCATTTTAACTGTTCAGTGATATCAGTGAACTTTCAGACCGCCATTTAAGTTAAAAATAAAGGTAATTCTACCAACTGAATAGCATCCTTATAAGGATCAAGTAAGACGTACCTGGTACAATGCTTAACGTGTAATAAATTCATGATATGTGGTAGGCTTTTTAAAAAATTAAATATATCAGTACTTGGTAAGAAGAAAATCTAACAATGAATTACTGCAACTTACTTAAATGCATAGATAAACATACACATATAAACTTGCATACAGATGGTAGGGAAACAGACAGATAGGCAGACAGATACAAAGAAAGATGGCTGGTGGATGAGTAAATTCAATTTATGGTACCACCAGGTACTACCAATTTATGCCACAAAATTACATTTCATGCTTGTTTTATCTCTCATGACACATGGCTAAATATTCATCTCTAGGGTAACTAAATCCCATCTACTCACAGATGTTCTAATGCATCCAAACCAGTGAAGGCTTTTTTGGTAATAGATCGAATCCGGTTTCCCTGGAGTGTTCTAGGGAGAAAAAAGAACAACAACAATAACATACTGGAACAGTTCATTTAAAAGAAGCCATTTTGTGGGGTGAAACACTTACAAAAAAGAACTACTTTTTAAATCATTTGTGAACAATTCCATTTTCACCAGCTCAACAATGTATTTTGTAAAAAGGTAGCCATGCCATCTACTTTTAATATTACAGTGTAACATGGTTTTCAAAGAATTTAACAGAGAATCTGACAAAAATGGTATCTGTGAGTTCTTCTGACCATAATAATGCTGCTTTTCAAAGTTTTTTTAGGAACAGACTGATGACTGTATTAGTGGAGGTTTGCTCCTTTCCCTCCTCATCTGGAGATACCTTCATCATCAGTTTGAAATATATTATGGCCATGTGTAAGACCCTTTAGAGCTAAACACAAAATGTTTTTTATCTTACATCCTTGGAGCTTACTGCAGCATGATCAATGGACACTGGATCACTCCACTTGACTGTGCCTATGAGTAACACGCAGGACTGAGAGTTTCAAACTGTTGACGCTTGTAAGCGCCTTCACTTTAATATACAGGGAAAATCCCCAAAATCTAAGCACTGAAAATAATTTAAAGTTCTTATTTAATTAAAATAAGTTATATAAACTGAAGTGTTCAATTTTCTTCCTTTAATCTGAGAAGAGCCAATTCATACACACATATCTTACAAAACAGCACGCAAGGGAAATAATAAAGCATGGAAAACTGCACTGGTTACACACTTATTTCTAATCCCATGATGTCAATTCATAGAGTTGACTTCACTTAAGACAAAAATTTTAAGTCAAAGGATGAACTCAATTATAAGGCAAATTATACTCACAGCATCCTCAGTTTGTCAAGACCAGAGAAAGCGCCATTCATGTCTTCAATAGTCCACGAAATTTCATTGTTTTTCAGGTCCCTAATTAAAAAAAAAAAACAATTCTCTTTAGAGATATGTGTCCGAAATCTAAGATCACCACCCAGGTGGCATGTAATTTGTAATAAATTCTCCCATGGTCTCCACCCCTTTCAAAGTACAGTAATAAGCTGTTATGTTTCCACCATCCCTCTAACTTTCTGCTCTCTTCCTTTAACAACATTTAAAGTTTTTGCCCCAAATCAAGATGGTTGATTCCGGCTCTGTTAATTCTTCTATTATGATGACTAAATTCTGAAAGCTTGAACAGTTTGAAAACTACATTAAACTTTAAAACCACAGTTCCAACCACACAAGTAAGAGTTCGCCAAAGCATACAGCATGTCTTTCAATTACATAATGCTCGCAACAGGTCATAGAGCACAAATTTCTGACAGTGCAAAAAATCAAAAGCCCATTGCACAATTAATTCAACTTTCTTCTCTTGCTTGGGGCAGAGATCAGGTTATGGATGCAACTGCCTAACACGGATCTTCCTTCACTGCTTTTGGTGTATCTTCTTGCTCTACCTATTTTTTAATCTGTACTTTATAAAGGAAAATCAATGGATTTAAAATTATTTCCGTCTAAGCAGTTCCTGACTTCCTGGAGATCCTGAGAAAGCTAAGGAGGATAATCATCCAGACAATCCGATCACTGTCTTTTTTAATCCCTTTAAGAAACACATATGGATGAAATGGATCCATTTTAATCAAACTGTTCTGGGAAAGATTAAGATGCTACTTTTGAGGCTATACACATTTCCTTGACAACAAAGAAAAGCTGCTGGGAGAAAAGTGGGCCCATTTAGGAAACAATTAGGTTCGTATACCAAGAGCAAAATGTGTAACTTACAAAGTCTTTAAACTGGAAAGCCCCCGGAAGGCACAATCAGCAATGTAGCTGACTTTGTTGTTCCCAATGTGCAGTGTATTTAGTAAGCTTAGGCCAAGGAAACTTGAATCATCTAACCTCGATAACTGGTTGGAAGTTAGGTCCCTGTAAAGAAAAAAGGAGTTTAAAAAATATCCTTTGTTTTTCCATTCAATGCAATGATTTATTTTCAAAAAGCCAGGAAATAAATGTAACTACTGTAATCCTTACTTTAGAATTCTGCCTTAACAATACCCTGGTAAACATTATTTCTAATCTGAGTAATTAAAAAAAACAGCCATGACTACATTTGCCAATATGCCACGAACTAAAACATTAGAGTGGACTTCAACCTATCACAACAGAGGCTGCATTTGAAAAAAGCTATCACCTTGGAAACTTTGTTATGAAAATTTCACAGATCAGTGGTAAGAAGCTCATGCTCTGGCATGATCCCTGCTTGTGAATCTGAGGAGAATAAAAGGCAACTCACAGCTCACTGAGTTTCTGGCAGAACTCCCAGGCATCGGGGCTGATCCTGTGGATGGCATTCTGGCTAAGATGAAGCTCCTGCAGCATCAGCAGGCCATAAAGCCAGCCTTTGGTAATCTCTGTGAGGTTGTTATGGTCCAGCTGCCTACATTCACAATAAGAATCAAAGGCAGGATCCAGAGTTTATTATCTAGTCTCTTCAACAGGAACAGATGATTACAAACTATTACATATTCCTATTGTTACCAGCTTTTTTATATGAAAACATCAGCAAAAAATACTATATAAAGAATTGCTTATAAAATGTATAAGGTTATAAACTCTCAACTAGGTTGCCTGAAACAAAACTGAACACTAAATTACAGATAAGATCGTATATTAGATGATAAGCACATGATTTCAAATAAGAGATACTGAATGCTCACTGAGCTTTCTACGGTCACACTACCTGAGTGGGAACCATGATAACCGACTTACAAGATTTCCATGTTGCTCAGCCCCCAAAAAGCTCCATCCATCAGTTTTGTTACTCCATTTCTTTGCATCTTCAGAGACTTTAGAGCACCAAGCCCTTGGAATGTGAGTCCATCAACATTTCTAATCTTGTTTCTATTCAGTTCACTGCATTGGATATTGTAATTAAACAACTTAATTGACAATTAAATTCGAGAAATAGTAATCAAATATGCCATTACTACAATATATTTAACCTAGTCAGTGTTAAATTACTTAGAGTATTTTAAGTTGTGAGACATTTTTATTGAGAAGAATGTCAATTTGTTAGCACTGAGTGAATTTCTCTGAAAACGTGTGATGTATTTTTGGAATAACAAAATATTAAAAGTAGACTGCACTTTAATTTTTAAATCATTATCCACTCAGCATAAAAGCAAACAAATCAATATTTGTGTTTACATGATCAGAATGAGGACATTAAATATTACAGTAAAACAAGAGATACATTCAAGAGCACAGCAATGAAGGATATCCTGCTCGATCTACTTATGAAGTCTGAATCTCTTCTGCAATTCAGTTTTAGGTTAAATGCTTTCTTACATGCAGCAATTCTCTACCTTGGCTGCACAATGGAACCACCTAAGGAGTTTTAAAATCTACGGAAGCCTAGATCCTGCCCCCAGAAGTTTTAATGTAATTGGTCTAGGGTGTGGCCTGGGCACTGGGATTTTTAAAAGCTCCCTGAGTGTCTGTAATGTGCAGCCAAGGCTGAAAACCACTATTGCAGGAGTCTGTTCACAGATCATTCCACCATTATTAACAAGACAGTTCTTTACAGCCACTTAAGCTATCAGAGCCTCCCGGAGCTGTTGGCATTCTTGTCATAAACCACAGCTGCTGAGAGCCTCTGTGATTTCCTCAGCACCACAATGGCACCTTTGCACGGGGGCCATTCAACGATAACACTGCTCTAGCTCTTTTTGTAGCAATCTAACGTGTCTTGTCAGGCAGCAGCTGGCAGCTCTTGCCAATGACAAGATTTTGTAACCCCAGCTCTCAAAGCAAAGGCAGCTACAGGCCTGTTTCTAAGCTCCTTTTGCCAACACTGAGGACTTCAGTATACAGACACCAAGAGTTTGGAGGAGATGATGACATTTGACTCACAGGTGCTGCAGCTGGGACAGCTTAAACATTTTGGGTGGGATTGTTGAGATCCGGTTCCTGTTTAGCTTCAACACCAGAAGAGTACTGGCCAAGTTGTCAAAGTACCCAGGTTCCATGGATGTGACTCTGTTGCTATTGATATACCTGTTGAAAGTTTGCAGATGAGCCACTCTTTTTTTTTAATTTTTATTTTTATTGTTTGGAAAGTTAAAGTACATATAACCTCTATTATAAAGAATTTTCAGAGACTTAACCAATGGGCATCTAAACTTTCTTGAGGAGAAATACTGATTAATAGTCAGACAGACAGGCTGTGGGTATAGTTCAATGGTAGAGCACAGACTTAGTATATGTAAGGCCCTGGGTTCAATCTCTAACGCCAAAGAAGAAAAGACAAACATTCACACATACTGCTGAACAAACATTGACTAGGATATTTGAAAGTTATAAAAATTTATTACAGATACATATCTACTTTTTGTGAAATTTGTTATTTAAATAACAGCAGTAGTTTCATCCTACTTTTTTGAGTATATTTTAATAGCATGTTTACATGATACAGTTTTTTAGGCAAAGAATATCTAATTGTTTATAATCCAGAAATGAAATTAAAGAATAAAGTGAAGATTCTGATTATTCAGAATTGTAACAAATTTCAAGGCAAAAAGAAATTACATTTTTTGATTCATCAGTAGTAAAATAGAAGAATTATATGTAACTTTTTTTTTTCTATTCATAGTGATGTGATATTTTCATCAAGGTAAAAATTTCTGGTTAAAAAAAAAAAACCTCACTTACAGATACTTGAGTTGAAGATGTGGAAATGGGGTTTTAAGTTCTGAAATGTTATTGCTGCTCAGGTCCAAAGTTTCGAGGGATTGAAATTGTTTCAGATGTTCAGGTAATATCTCAGCAAGCCTGTTTCCAGCCCTAAAATTAAAAGGCATCATAGATAACAGGTTTTATGTTGCAATAAACTGAAAGGAGAAAATAGTTTTTACTTCTAACTTGTTCTTCAGAATTATGAAAAACTGCTCTAAATAAAAGATGAAAAACTGATCTAAATAGTACTTTAAAAGTTAAACAGCAATACCATGGCTATGTTAATTTATTTATTGAATCATACATCATGATACACTGCTAAATACACAAACACCATTCCTACATAAATCTGAGATATAATTTAAAAGTGACTAAATTCTATACACTTTAAAATGATTTTTAATGTTCTTTTTATTAGTTCTTTTTATTAAATGGTAAGTGAAACATCTCATACCAAGTAGGCATACCAGGTACTAATGTAGTAGCTCCCTATCTCTTGTCTTCATTTTTAATCTGATTCTTCTCTTGAAAAGCACCCAAAACATATGTACTAATGAATTTCAAATACTCATTGGGCTGGGCTTTTTTAGAGCTGTGCTAGAGATAGATTATGGTTTGTTTTAATGATAGTAACATTCAATGTGTTACCAGAGGTTTCTGTATCAGTGATGAAGTTCTAGGGCTTCCAGTATTTTAAAAGTATCACACAAGAGCACACCCACCTAAATATGCCCTGGGCACTGCTCAGTTAAGACATGTGGACATTGACAATCCTAAACTACATGGCAGTTACTAGCACACGTGGCTCTTACAAATGTAAAGAAATGTTAGAATTCAGCTCTATAGTTAAGAGTTATGGTGCTCCTATTTCAACAGCTCAACAGCCTATTGTACCTGGTAGCTATCAAATGGGACAGAGCACATATAGACTATTTGCATGGTCATGGACGGTTCTACTAGTAAGTATTGCTGGACTTAAAAAGGGGGCATAGAGAAGGAAATAAAAAGAAGCCAGATCAAAACTCTTAACAGGTCTTTGACATTATGCCTCTCAAGGGGAAATTCAGCATTGAGCAATAGCTTTGTTAGAAAACAGCAATCAAACAGATATGCAAACCATCTCAACTGTCATATTAGATCAAACAGCTTGGTCTTTTTAGACCATCATTTGGTGGGGAAAATAACACGCCAAAGTAGAAAAGCCGGGAAGGTTATCAGATCCCACCTAAAAATCAGAAAAAGATCATCTCTTTCCATCCCAGGGAACAATGAGACAAGCTAAAAGTTATAAGGAGAACTCTATCATATAAAAGTCACTTGATGGTGTTTCTATATAGTAAGCAGTTGTTTTCACTTAATACAAAAACTTCTAAAACATATCTCATGTATATATATTTTCCTTAGCCTGAGAATATATCTCATGTGCATCTCTCTTACTAAAATCTAGATTTCTATAGTTCTTTGAGCTTATTAAGATCTTTGGCATTGGTGTCTTAACACATCAGGAGGATCCTAAGTTAGGTATACCTCAGACATATTCACAAAATCATAAAGCTGCACTCTGATAGACCACATGTACAACTGATCTTCTCTGCCAGACTGCAAGCTTCTTGGAAGCAAGAAGTGTCTATATCTGCCTTGGAATGTGTGTGAAATCTAGTAACACTGAGCACATTTGAGATAGTGAGCCCTGTGTTCATGTATTGTGCCATTTAATCATTCAATAATTTCTCAGGTATAGATATGATATGTGCTTTTAAAATTAGGAAACTAGGGGGCTTTTCACGTAACAAGTCTAAGCACTTCTAAGCCACTTCACAGAGTAAGTCTGGACTGGTCCCAAACCAATCACTGAAGGCTTTATTTCGCACAATACAGAGGATCAAGGATATCTTGATAATTACATTCTTGCTGGAGATGTACTGCCAAAAGTTCTAATACTTCTCACCTTGCAAAAATGCTGAATTTCTGGTCTCAAACTGATGTGGAACCTACTCTGGCTTGCTGAACAGTGTGCCAACACTTATGAATGTCCCAGAACAGGGCCCCTCCCAATCACCACCTACATACTGCATAGGTAAGAGAGGCCCTCAGGAGTTTGTGTGTACTCAGCACCCGCCCCAGTCCGAAGGTTCACTTCCTGAATATGTACAAATGGCAGGTGCTGTTTCCTCCACAAGAGAGAAGAGCAAGCAGGAAAAAATGGGCCACACAGTCTGTATTCAAAAACTTAGCAAAATTATTCAAAATAATGTTAAAACTCACCATACATTTTTTGTAAGAACTCTGGGGATATCTTCTCTCATTTTTAAAATTCAAGTCAGCAGATAATCTAACACTATTTTTAAAAATAATCATATTCTAGATAATAAGCATAAACAGTATATATCTTAAGAATCATTTTGTGATAATAGCCCATTAAAAACATAAACAACAAGCAGTCCTATTTACAAGTCATATTCCTGTAAAGTCTTTCAGGGTTTGTTTACAGCTATGGCCTCTGATTGTGACCATTTCCCACATCTGGATTCACCAATGTATAAGCTCCTTGATCTAGCTGTGAGGTACAGGGTAATGCAAGTGAGACAATTAGTCAATTTCTAGGTCCCGGAGATGGATTCAGTCCAAGAGACAAGCCACAAGGCCTTAGGGGTGGGGTGTGCGGATTAAACAAAACCACACTTGGGGGTTAGAAATTTAAATACATAACCCAACATTTGTATTACTAGGATGTCCTCCCACAAACTAAAGTAACCTCAGTGTCCAAATGTCACCTTTCTCCAGTCCCTAGTCACATCTTCTTTCAAATTGCATCAGGTTTTGGCCCTCAGGCTGTCTGTGGCTAGCATAGCTACTCTTACACAGTATTTAACAATGACAAGAAAATCCTCAGCTGTAGACTTTTGCCATAAATGAAGCAAATGATTCTTTCGGAAGAGGGAGTAGCACAGGTGTCTATTACACTGGTCAAACAAGGCTAGGAGTTAGATAACAGACCATACAACCTTTGGTTTATACATTCGTTTGTTTATAAGGTAATTATGAACAAGGTATTAAAACTGCCAATTACTTGACTGACGAATAAAATTTTCCTTGCAGTAAAAGTTTGCTCCAGCCAAAGCCAGCAATTTCCTGACCTGCACACCTCCTAAACTGCGGTGGGAAAGTGCTCAGTTATAGATGTAGTACGCACAGTGCACTCTTTGTCAGCCCTGCGGCCCAGCACAAAAATCCCTCACAACTGGCAGGATAATAGCTCCTGTATCACAAAAATTTAAATTTGTCCTAAAGGAACTGAATTAAATCCAAATGTCAGCTTTTCAGCCTAACTGGCAATAACCACCTGATACATGCCAGTTTAAAAAACAAAAACAAAAACAAAACAACTTGCTTTGTGTCATGAAAGGAGTTTTTTAAAAGGAGGCAACCACATTTTAAAAACTGGATTTAAAATCTGTTTTATTATCTGAAACTCTCAAATTAAATGCATTTCAGAGAGTGGATCACAAACAGCCATTTCCAGAAGACAGAGATTCAATTCAGTCCCAGCTTTCATTTTTGTCCAAATACGGATAATTGTCAAAATAGATCAAAACAGTAAAAGGCACTGCAGTTAATATTTTGGCAAGAAATGTGAAACACTTGAATAAAAACAAAACTGCAAATACCTTTTCCATTAATTATTGGAGATGCCATATTTCCATTGTTCAAAAATTACAGTATAGTTTTGGACATATTAGAAGGCTTCATGAAAATCCATTTTGGAGACTGAGTATTTTGTCTATGCTGATAGTACAGGGAGTTCTATGGTCAAATCATTGCTGAGGTGAAGTGTAATTAGCTCCTCGTGGACCAACAGACCTGAGGGCACGGTTGGTGGGGAGCACACACGGTTCCCTCCGGCTTTTACGAAGCCACAGGAAAATAAGAAGTCCTACACATTTTAATCTTGACTTCTTAGGTCCAAAAATCATGCTTAATTTTGTTGCCAATTCCACCTTTCAGTCAACTTTACCAAAATGCTTTAAAGTGCAGAGACAAACACAGCTTACCATTTTCTTTAGATGATGTTTACTCAGAGTGCTGGAGACAGATCCAACCATGAATGAGCTGGTGATGCCCTTGACCTCAAGGAGACTGAAGTCTTGTGGAGAGGGCACAGCCAACCAACAGGAGGTCAACAGTGTGGTGAGTACTAGGAGAAGGAGGGAAGAAAGAGCAGAAGACGCTGAAAGGGCAGACTTCAGAGGAGAGTGGGAGGACTGTAGGTGAGAACACAAAACTTCCCACAGGAAGGATGACTACGTAAGGCTTAGAGGACAAAGCACAGAAAAGGAAGAGGGAAGCCTAGTGTCGTCCAAGCAGGAACAATACATGCATGCAGACTCAGGCAGGTGAGAGCAGAGGAAAGTTTCTTCCCCTTGAGGCAATGGAAGAATACTGCCTTGATGGCTGGAGTATGAAATGCATGAGCAAGGATTAGAGAAACACAAACCTTAAGAGTAAGGCGGCTAAGGAGAGATTAGGTCAGAGATCTGGAAGCCATCTTAGTCACTTGACTTTTATCTCAAAAATCCATCGTGTGGAGGGGCCAGCAGAATTCAGATGGCAGGTGACAACACTGTGTGTGCATTACACAATGGCTGCTCTGGCAGCAGGCGGTAGAAAGACTAAATGGCAGATAAGAACAAGCACAAAAGAGCAGGCAGGAGGCTCCTGATTCCATAGAGAGAACAGAATTGGTTGGATGTCTTCAGGGTGATGCCCTGCCTACACACCAGCTGCAGGGGTAGAGCCCCCTTCTTCCTCTGGTGTCTAGAACACAGGCTGAGCTTTTCAACTCCCCTGACTACAGGCCAGGTTTCTAGCTCTGTAGTTCCTGACCTTGGGATCTAGGTCAGCTCTCGAGTTCCACTTACTTTCTTCATTATGACTGTGCCTTGTGTTTGGGACATGGGAGGACTTTTATAGGCATGGAGTACACGACAGGATCCCTTCTTGCTCTGGAGTAAGATGCTATTAACCACAAGAGCCCAATACTAGCATTTTACTATGTTCCTCAATCACTAGGAAAATGGATCTGCTAACCTCACGCATTAGAAATGTGC